TCGCGGCCGGAAAATGAGCCATCAGAAACAATGCAACAGTTAAAAGGTTTTAATTCAAATGGTCAGAGGGTGGCGACGATCGTCGTTTGACTGCAGCACTTTGGTACTGGGTGAAAAAGGACTGGGAGACGGCCTCTTGGGTAGCAAAAATAAAGGAATCCAAGCGAGGTTGGGATAAAAAAAAAAGGAAGAAGAACGAGTCCGAAATAGAGACCAAGTGAAACACCAGACGGAAAAGTGGTTGAGGGTGAGGGGGAGGGATCAAGTTAAAATAAAAAAATTGTAAGCGTGGATGTTCTGGTCTGTTCTGGATCCACTTGCTATGTTTCTGGTCCATGTGTACACAAGACTGGATATCCTGGAAAAAGTGTGTGCCACGAAAGATTATTTCTGGGAAAATGGAGAATAACGAATAAGTACTGACGCGCAATGCCGGTGAATATCAGCGGAAATACATGCAAATATATTTCACGGATGAATATGTCAGCGTGTGAGTATATTCAAAACAGTGGTTACAACAAAAGGTATGACCGAGGGTTTGAATTTTGGGTTGCAGGAGAGAACACTGGGCAAAGTTATTTGGCCAGGAGAGTAGAAATGAAATAGGATTGCTAATACTCGCTGTCAACGCCAGTACGTGATACTCTGTCCCTTATTTCTCATTTTACTATTTCACTGCATTCTTAACTCGTCAACGATTCGGAGGGGGTGAAAATTAATCAGAGGAATAATTTTTTTTACGTCTTTTCGTGGAGTCGGCTATTTCCGGGTCATTCGTGCGAGGATAGGGCGCGCCATGTCTCCCTTATTTCCTTCCTGCGTTACACCTATTTGCCCTTTTTTGCTTTTTTTTATGAAGTCACGATGACCACCGCCGGGAGAAAATTTAATTGTTTAAAATTCAAAGTTGGAGTCCGTCAATTATGTTATCAATGGTTTATAAAAATTGCGGTGAACGTCGGAATTGAACGGTCAAATATCGCGGTAGTTCATTCTTTCCTGTGGACATGGAAATTTTCATAATTTTATTTTCTCTGTGTAGTAATGACGGATTATTCGCGGTGGTGGGTATTATTCAATGGTTCTTGTTTCATTTGTTTATAGGGGAATGTTCCGTGGGTCACATATATCGTGTACTGGGGAAGACAGAAAGGCTGAGACTCTGGGGAGCACCGAGCCCATCGAGGGAGATTCGATCTATGGAACCTGGACGCTCGCAAATCAAGTCCACTCACACACATAAGTTATATACAGTGTACAGAGTATTTCAAATTGTACTGGCGTGAGAGTAACTGCACGCTTAGCGACACGAAGCCCCTTTGTATTGAGTATTCCGCAGGAGTCGAGGCATTCAAACTAAAAACGATTAATATCTCAGATGGGAATCGATATTCGAAGATGACGGATGACATGCGACAGTGAGTAAACACCGGATTATATTGTCGCGGGATATTGTCTCTTGAGCCGTTAACTGGACTCATGAATTTCAATTCAATTCAATTTTTTTTCCTTTATACGGAATTGGGTTTTTTAGGAAATATCTTGGAATTAGGAAAGGATAAAGAAATGTTTGTCTATGGATTTTTTTGATGTAGAAAGATGAGAGCTTTGAGATTGAATTTATTCATGGCAGAAATATGTAATAAAGTATATGACGAAAATAATCTATTTTCCTCGGATGGAAATTTTTTATTTTTAATAATTGGTTTTCCAGTAATAGCTGGTTTAATTTTGAACGCTGAAGTTGTGATTCGGCGTTGCGGTATGGTATTTTAAGATGAATTCGAATCAAACCCTGAAAATAGCATCAAGTCTACAAAGCCAATTACTTAATTTTTTTCCACCCATTTTTTCCCCCGAGAAATAAAAAAAATATAAATATATTAATAATAATCACATTTATTCGGCCTCTACCTGACATCCGCACGAAATGGATTAGCAGTTGAAAAAGGCAATAAGTTGACGGATATTCGAGGGACAAATAATAATTGCGGGGATTCCCAAAAAATGCGGTGAAACCCAGGGGTCTGGGTCTCGCCCGGAAAACCCCGCGAATATTCAAACTAAAAGTAATTGACGGATGGGGAAAAAAAACAAAATGGAACATGAAAAAAAGGAAAACTGAGGAATGGTAGGGGTGGTGTGGGGGGGCATTGGGGAGGTATGCGGAATGAAATCGACAGGGCATCCACCTATCGGTCCGGTCCCGCTCGGGTGTCTCCCAGTGTGCGTTAAATCCGTGTACATGCAAACCAACCAAATACACACAACAAATTGATGGGATACGGGTGTTAGTGGGACGCGAGGAGAGTCGTGTACCCATCGACATAACCAAACAAGCAACAAGTGACCTTAAAATCTGCGAATAAAAATCCTCGTGCCTGATCGAATATTGGATATGGGGTAGATTCCGGGGGGTGTGGAGTCGCTGGGGTTCACTACCCCGTGTAATATTACGCCGCGTTAAAAGGCCGAATTGGGGTGGAGTCGTTTTTTCCCCCTCCCGTGTCAAACTGATGAACGGATTTGTAAATAATACTCCATTAGTCATTACAATCTGCTTAATACCCATTTCCATGTTTGGGAAATTAAATGCAATTCATTGAATTCCAGTGAGTGCACGAGAGGAGACAAATTATTTCGACAATACCATGCTGTGACGTTTTTCCACAATTCTATTGATTGAAAAAATAAATTACTTGTCTATTGCATTATGCGGGAGTTAGTGCCAGAGTTAAAGTTGAACTATCGCGATATGTGGTTTTTTTTTTTCGGGAAGTGGAAGCACACGCGGAATTATGCGGTTGGAGTGTAAAATGCACTTGTGAGTTAGGTTGAAGGAAAATTAAAGAACGTGTCTCGTGTCGTGCAACTGCGGTGGCAAAGGAGTGAGATGGCGGAGGGGATGAGTTGTGAAAAAAAAAAAAAGTGTATTCCCCGACCTCTCTACCCCGACCGCGACTGCGGCCGGATTAAAAAGCAACAAGTGACCTTAAAAAGTGTGGGGGATAAAAATACCGACGGCTGATCGAGAGTTTCTCGCCATCCCGAACGCTGTGTATGTGTGAGGGGGTTGGAATGGGTTGTTGGACGTGGAGTCAACGGGCCGGACGTGCGATCGAAGGGATGTGAGGAAGTGGAGATGTGACAATAGATCGGGCAGTGGTAAAAAAAGCCAACGAGAGATGGTGGAGTATTGCGTGGAAGTTGGGAGCTTGAGCAGGTGGAGTTGGATGAATGAATAAAAAGATATTCTTCTCATTTTTCTCATTTTTTTCATTTTTTTTTCATTTTTTTGCATTTTTTTCATTTCTTTCATTTTTCTCATTTTTCTCATTTTTCTCATTTTTCCCATTTTTCCATTTTTTTCATTTTTCTCATTGTACTCCTGCAAAAAGCTCGCGAATTCTCTCCCCGAATTTTTTCTTCAAAGAAAAATGGAAAATCGCCAAGTGCAGATGATCTAAGAGGGGATGCTTGTGGAATAAGTCGAAGGGGTAACCCCTATCTCGTATCTAGTTCCAATATATTCCGCCTAAGCAGGAGCTCGCCACTGTCCAGCAACCCTTTAGTACAACCACAACGATACCAACCCCCTTAGTACACACGGATACATCCCGAGATGGAAGGGGGTGATTTTTCTTTAGACAACCCCTCCCACCTTTTCACCAACACTAGTGCAGTCGACCCTTACCACCACTAGCCCATCCGAGATCGTCTCTCGCACTCACCGCACCAACACATGTCTCATCTGGAAGAGTTAGTTGCTCCTTGTTTTGTAACTGAAAGGTAGGGGTGAGTGAGGAAGACAAATCAAAATATTCACCCCGATCCAAGCATCCAGCTACTAATTAATCAATCATCCAATAAATCCATGACGATCGATGAAAAAATTCAAGATCAGATCGATCCCCGATCGATCCCCGATCAATTCCCAATCAATCCCTGATCAATCCCTAACGAATCTCTGGCAGATCCCCCAAGTGTTCACGAAAATGAAAAAAAAAAAATCTCACCAAGCGCGACAAAAAATACTCCCAGTGAAAACCCCTGCAAATACGATTTCAAAACAAAACGAGAAAAATAAAAAAAAATTAAATCTCGTCACTGACGCGCTTGATCCTACAACCGCAATAGCCTCCATTTACCCACCCCTCCATAAACCACCTTTTCCCCTTGCTTAGGAGAAGCCTCACGGACATAATACTCAGACGTCTCCCTCGCCACCCTCTCCTAAAAGCCGTCCTTGTCAGGTCACACGTACACGGTGTGTACATACACGCTCCCCCCGCAGTTATCCCGATGGTCAAACCCAAGAGTGTACCCCAGTAGTTTCCAATACTTCCATCCCTATTCCACTTCCAACCCCATAATAAAGAGCCCCTTCCCTGTTCACATAAGCATAAGAGAGAAAGCGAGTTCCTTGGGAAGAAGCTCCAACACAGTTCGTCCCACTCGCTCGTGTTCGTTATCGCCCGTCGCAAGCTCTCACCCCCTTTAACACACGTGTCTGTCTTTCTCCGTTCGATTGACCATGGCATAAGCTCTCCCTTATCTCCCTCCCCTCCTTTCCCCCTACAACCGTCGACGTACTCCGTCGCAAGATCAACCCTCTCACACCGCCGTAGCTGTCGACGGCGGCTCCGTCGCAAGTTGGACTCTCTCACTCACCCACGGAGTTTATCGCAAGCTCGACTCTCTCACTCCACCGTCGGTCCATCGCGGTCCGTCGCTCTTTCCAGTTCGTTCGCGCGCCCAACGACGACTCCCTACCACCCCCCTCCCCCAACGGTCAAACCCTCCTCCTTAGTCTTATGTGGCGTGTATCAGACGCTTTCACTCTGACACCCGCGACCGTTGGGAAAACGAACTTGCGTGCTTGCAACGGTGACCTCTAGGGGCGCCACTGTACGGACAGCCGGCTCGACGTTATTGTGGCGCGTGGTCTGACTACAGCATCCGTGATCTCCTATCCGCCTACACGAGCGGCCAGCATCGCCAGTGCGCCCGCAAGCCCGCAAGTTCGCGCGACACATAACCCACGCTCTCTCTCGTTATAATCGGCGGTGCGAGGCGCTTTTTTGACTAATTGGGGGTGTGTGTGTGTGTTGTTTTTTTTTTTTACGTTTTTTTTTTCAACGGGCAATGAGTGGGTCTTTTTGGGTGGTTTACGAGCTTTTTTCACAAATTTATTTTTAACTCTGGGAACCGTCTTGGGGGGTGCGGAACTTGAGAGGTGGAAGTTATCTGTGTTGGTGGTTACAAGGTGCTTATCGGCCGGCTCTGCGGAGGGGTTCGAACTGGAGAGAATTATTATGGAGATGGGATCTGGATTGGGAGAAGGTGAGTAATGAGGATTTTTTTTTTTTTTCTCATTGTTTTGGGGGATCACTGTGGGGACTAGTGAAGTGATGTGAGTGTGATGGACTTTGTGGATTAGACGACTGGGATCAGGACGTTGTGGAAGTGTGTTGGGACTGATCAGTGGAGTGAGGGCACTGGAAATGTTTATTGAACACGTGTGTAATGTAATGACAAATGGATGAGATGGAATTTCGGAGACCTGTTGATGACCGGTGAAATATTGAACGTGATTTGGGGAAAAAGGACGGTAATTAGGGGGATTAATTGGGGAGTCGTGAACGATTTAATGCGGCGGTCGCTCGTGATTTTGACCCGCGGTTATTCATTCGCCGGGTGATTGCTACGGTTTTTATAGATTGCCGGTTTTTGTTTTGAGTTTTGACCGTTGCAACTGGTGGATTGAGATTTCCGTGGGGAGCGGATCGGCATTCGGAAAATAATCACTCTCAATGGTCAGGAGCTTTTTTTTTATTTAATTACGATTTTTTTATACTGAGATGTTTATACCGGACGTGCCAGCGGTCAGTTGCGCTCTCCCGACGGCAAACGGTCACTCCACACTGCATGTCCTATTCGAACAACTCGCAGATCTATAATTCATCAAAAACCACTTTGAAAATTCAGCCACTGTTCAATATCTTAAAAAATTCTACAATTTGCCAATTTTCGTAAAAATTGTAATTGAAATTGGGATTGAAATTCGGTGCAAATTCCATGACATCACGACGATTCTCTAATTTCCGTCAATCATCACAGAATTTCTCACAAGATATTCAAGTAATTTTAAACCATCTCGAATCACTTTTTCAAAGTCGTTTGACAATTAAGAATTTAACATTAAGCGAATGATTTCGGCGACAATGGGGTGCAGCTCACCCTCGAATTCTCTCGGGAAAAAATTTATTCTCAAAAACTTTGACAACTCGGAAAACCGGTTATTCCACATGGTCGTGTACACGAACCAGTTGTAGTAGAAATGACAGAAGCCCGGTGGCTCGCCAACTGATTGTCCAACATCGTGGTCACTAATGGCAGATCGATACAATTGAGTATAAACAGGTAATAATGAAACGAATCGTGTCATAAACAATCACACCGATTGTGGGGGGAGGAGAATTCCGGAATGAGTACGTTGCAAAGTATAAATGAATGTTGATCGCGAGTGGTAGTGGAAGGGGAGGGACATGACAATGTTATTTGGGTGGGAGGTAAACGGATCGAAAAATATCAGTGTCAAATAGCTGTTGAATTTTCGAGGATATTAAATAATACCGCAGCCCCTCAAAAACACGAGCTGGAACCGAGCGATGATTATCTACTAAAAAGAAAATTTTCCACCCCTGAATTCAATTTCTCACTGGAGTCGCGGGTGAAAAATTCTCACTGCGTAAATTTTCTTTTTCAAACAAGTCATTGAGACAAAATTTACGATAATACCAACGGAATTGGAAAATCGCTTTCGATGAGCCGTCGAGTGAGGATGATTGGAGCTAATGCGAGCCATCAACTGAATCTGAGGCGACACTCACCTAAACATAAACCTCTCACTATCAAACCCCTGGAAATCTATTTTTTATCGCCCCCATAAACATGACCCAAAAAATTTCAAATTCCTCTCAATGCCCATAAACCACGCCATTTCCATCCCCAAAAACTCGTAATATCGAGAATCCACAAAACTGTCACAATGTCAATGCACCGGACTCGATCAAAACCAGTGGAAACAAAAAATCCCCTTTTTCCCCCCGACAGATCGTAAAAACGTGTAACAGAGGGCCAAAGTCATCCGTGATATTTCCACCCTTCCGATAAGAACCCACCCTCCCCCCGGAAAAACCCCGAAAAGAGGAAAAAGAAAAAAAAATGGAGCGAAAAAAAATTTGAAGGTTGCCGAGAAAAAAAATCAAGGATGGCAAAACCCCATTTCAAGGGAAGGGGCTGTAAGGGTATGCAAGGGTTAAGGGAGGTGTGTGAGGTGGTTGCAAAGGGGTAGTCCCATAGCATAAGAAACATTGGAGTCTCAATCAGAATTAGCACGAAGAGGGGATACCCCTCCATCGACACAAGAAAAACAAGTTGGAGGGCGAGTGGGTTAACATCACCCCGATTGTTTTTTCCTTAAAGACGAGGGGGTAACCCACAGAGTAGCCGAAGTGGGGGATATATTAAGACGCAGTAGAAGGGGATGTTCATCCCCCGAGCGGAGAAATATCCGAGTAAAGGTGGTGGTATCCCCCTGGAGTTGTTGGTAAAATCGCGAGCAGTAGGGGCGGGAATAGTTTTTGGGGTGGTGGAAAATCCCCGCCGTAGCCGCGTTCCTACATTTCCAACAACTCCGGTAGTCCACTGCCTCCTCCATCCACCGGACAATATTCCCAAAAGTGGGGATAAGACTCTACCCCCTTCGGAGTTATTCGTCGCTGCGTTTGCGCAAGTCAAGCGCTCTAGGTGGAGGTGGAATTTATCTCCCTAGGTTTAAGGGTTGCTTCCCCACACGGTGGAGGTAGAATCATTCCACCCCCCCTCCCCCCTCCCTCTGGAAAACCCCGGGCTTGTACGTTAAAAGGTGGAGGGGCCAGGGGGTAGGTTGATGAGGGATGGTGGAAGAGAGACAGACGAATAGAGGTGAATAGAGATAGAGAGAGGTAGAGTGTATAGATGTTGAAATGCTTTTTGCCCTCAAACTCACCCCTCTCCTTTCATCCCTCACGTGTATTTGTGAGCTGTACTGGTGGTGGTGTTGCGTTAGCAGGGTTAGGGTGGTCTTTAGATCTGTCAGTAGCAAAGCGGCGGCCTCATCATACGGAGCTGCTGGCTGACCAGCTAGGCCAACACTCACTTAAGACGCGTTCCTTGTAATATAACCACCCGATAAACGCGCCAGCCTTCCCCTCCCCCCTCTTCACTCTCTGTCCAATTATTTTTACTTGGTGAATTTTTCTTATTTCCCCACCACTCTGAACACCCTTGAATCTCCCTACCACCCACCTCCCCCTCCTGATAATACCGGTGTACAACCCCTTCCCTATCATCCCATCACCACCACCAACCCGGGAGACTTAGCATCGGAGTGCATCCCCTCCTTGAACATCACCAGCTTCATTCATATATACGTTTAACTTTCTGAGATGTCGGGGGGGTGCTAAACATACAGCACACGGTGTGTAAATGGTACACTTGTGGCAGGAGAGTCAACACGCGAGGATATACCACGAGGAGACTGGACAGTGGACGTTTATCGTGTATTATACTCATGACAAGTGATTTTATTTTATCATATTACTTGTGCATCGCTTTTTACATGAATTATTTTGAATTGTGATGGCTGAGTGGAGACACTTGTGGTATTGCTGAGGATTTTTTTTTTTTTTTTTCATTTTTCATTCTAGCCCAAGTGAAACGGTGTATCTGTTTCAGTTATTTTTGTTAATCAACAGCTACGAATTTTTCCACGAGTTTAACGAGGTGAGAAGTGAGGGTGGGTTATGTGGGGTTTGTTGTTGTTGCCATTGTAGGATTATTCGGGGGGAGAGGGGGGGCAGGGGGGTGGGTGTGAGCGATTCTCCGAGGATGTCTCAGTTTAATCGTGACTGTGAGAGTACACAGGGGTAATGTTTTCGGGCTCTCGGAGGTGTTTAATTTGCTGTCGGGCCTCACCGGAAAATGCTCTTGGGGGATGATGTTTGATGTATCGAAAAGGGGTCAGGATGTACGGATAAGTGATGCAAGTCCCACAGGTGATAGTGATCAATTGATAAATGTTGGGACGAGAGTGATATGTGGAATTTTTTTTTTATTTTCACTATTTTTCACTTGACCGTGACCGGTTAATTGCCTAATGAGATATTCCAAAAAGCCGATATGAACGAGTAAAAGTGTTATGCAATCGGGAGTTGTCGCGTCATTCGTGTTTTATCCGTTGTCGCTTTCGTAGTAATTTAATTTACCACCTCATTATTCATCGATGTCGATGTACCCACTGTGTACAATCATATAACCATTATGTATATTGTCCTTTCATTTGTTTTCATTCATGTTTATCTGGTGAAAATATAATTTATTTTGATTTTTGTGGTTTTTATTATTTCAGTGGTTGATTCACCCTCATCCCCATATCCCATTATTGTCATTTATTTATCATCATTATTTTTTACTCGAAATTTTTTCGAGTTCACGGCCTTTGACCTCGCCAATCGGTGTCTAATGCAGCTGTCATACTTTTCATAATCTTTATCACTTTATCAGCCATCTGCTGGTGAGAAACCGTTTCAATCGAAAATAGTGCGAGTCGGTTGGCTTTCTTATCATTTTTCCGAGCGCTAATATTTGAAGGGGTTTTATCTAACTCCATCGACAACGCTCCAATTTCAATCTGTGGGAATTATTGTGAGATTATTCCGCAGCGAGAGAATCCGGCGATATTTGGGGAGACGTTTTCTTTGATTAACTTTTCAGCCCCAATTTAATGTTGACGTGACAGCTAGGGGATGGGAATTACGAGATCTAAAAGCTGATGCTGGGATTTCACGAGTGTAATAGAATACCAGAGACACTCCTTGTCTCATGAGATTGTGCGGATGTTGTGTTTTGAATAATCAAAGTTTTCATCTCGGTTACTTTAGGTGTTGTAACTTCGTAATTGATGTGGGGACACGTCTTAACCATCACGCGTTGACACACCGCAGAAAGACAATTCATTTTTCAATTATTTTATCCAGATCCGATTCTATCGAGTAAAATTCAAAACGTGATTATTCGGTTGAGTGAAAAATATCCTCTCCATTCAATTTAAAATGAAATAAAGCCCGTAGTCATTAAAATTCCAGGCGAATAAGGTTAATCACCAAAAGAACTATCAAAAAAAAAAAACAACAAAATTCACCAAATATCTTCAGCAAGACCATAAAAATTACTTCCAAGTCATATCGACGTAATGGGTCTCAACACGTCTGGCGGGCGCGCATCCAAATGACCGTGGCATTTAATCGCTAAAGAGTGGTGAGGTGGATTCGAGGGGTTAACTCCCTGGTAAAGTCATTAAGGACGTTATGTCTTGGCAAGTGTGTACGACACAGTGAGAATTTGCCACGTCCAAATGGTCGCGACAGTTGTCATTGGTGTGAGCAGTTTCTCGGTACAAAGTTTGGCCGAGCATTTGAAATCGTGACACGTCTGAACCGACGGCTTACAACAGCAAGTACTCGTTGAATACCCCAAATCTTCATTCAGCATAAAATTACTTGGCGATGTCGTTGTTAAAAAAAAATTTGTACATCGTTAAAATCATGACGGCAATAACGAAATGTGATTTTGCCCATTGGTATCATCAACCTCGATGCATTAAACTGGGATCGAGAACCCGTCGAAGGTCAACGAGCGCATGACCCGACATTAATTAACACACCGAATGAAAATATTTGAATACACTCGCGTATAAATGCTACCCCTCTGTAAAACAGAGACAGATACACGCGCGTTACCACCCCAATAACCCCATCACACCCTCCCAACAAGCCTGACTCATTATGCGATGGTACATTGTACCCTCTCGCAAATTCCCCAACAAATTTCAATATTCGTTCGATACAAATAATCGCGTTCTCCCGCTATTGTGACATTGACCCAAATACCGTCATTAAACTGATGATGTCTCCGGTTTTTTTATGTCTAATCATCTAGAATTCGATGAAAATAGAACTCAATACTTTGACGAACGCAAGATGGTAATGTTGATACGTGGGAATGACACCGTCGACGCATTCCTGTGACCCCTTAACCCCTCGCTGTCTCAACAACACGAATAATCCCGCTCGCACGGCAATTCCACCGCAACTAACTTCATAATGACGACTTCACCCGGTACTACACGGGTAAAATAGATCCACAAATGGCATTTAAAAATGGGGGAATTCGCCAGATCCAATGGGAAATGCCCAAGAATATAAGAATAACCCGGCGGAATGAATTTAATCAGAAAAAGGGGTTCTAGTCAGTTCTTGAAAAAAATTGACAGTTTGATTTTTCGATTGAAGAATGAACACAATTAAAAATTATTTAATTTTCAAAATTTATGGATGAATGATGACCTTGCGGACTCAGTAACAAGAAATTTTTCAGAACAATAGGCAAATAGCTGTGATGTACAAATGCGAAGGGTCTCACCTGCGGAACAAAAACCAGAGTAGAATGCGAGAAAAAAGCCCCGAAATAATCAGAAGGGTGGGGTATTGTCTCAAGAAAAGCTAATAACCCAGAATTCTCCTGAAGCTGCACCGAAAGAATGCGCGGAAAAGGTGAGGGGGGAGAGAAAAAAAAAATTGCGGAAGGAGTGGTGAAAGAAACGCGCGTCTCGGGTGGCGGACAAACGTAACGGCCGCGTGAATCGCTTCGTTAAGGGTACAACGGGAGTGCGAGAGTGAGTTCCAGGGATTTGAGAGAGTGAGAAATATTAGGGGTTGTGCAATGGGTCCAGGGTGAAGGGATGAAGTGAGAGACATAAGGGCAGACCCGGATAAGAGTGAGAGAGAGGCCAACAGTGGTGCGCGGATGCATACTAATTACGCGGGGGCATTGTTTTGCCCGTTGTGTAAAGACGTGCTAATTACATCTCGAGGAAGAATATTTTTCCTTCTCTGTATTTTTCCCTCTTTCAAAACCTCGGCCTCTCGCCTTCGGGGTAAATGAAAACAGCCAGCGTCTCGACCCTCACCCTCCGTGAAGAATAACCACCGGGAAGTACTTTCCTCGGATTCGTCTTTCTCCCCTTTCACTACCTGTCTCATGAGAATTCAATGACTCAAATCGTCATCAGCATCATTTACTCATTCTCTTTATCCACCACTTCTGTTGTTTCGCGCGTGAATCCCCTGTTTTTTTTTTCTTTAACATTTTTTTTTTTTTCATTTTTTCTCATCCAAGTTGCAATTGAGTTAATTAGAAGACCCATCGTAACTGGTTGGTTGAGATTAAATTAATAGTGTGTTTAACCGGTATTTCAGATTGACGAATGATGCCCTAACGGAGAGCCGGCTGGTGCGTGGGTGTCGGGGTAAAGAGAGGTAAGTACCAGATGATAATGAATATTTCGATGTAATAGGGGGATGAAGATGAGGGCTGAGTGGTGGCGCACTAGGCGGGAAAGGAAGGAGACGTTTGGTGTGAGTCGACCGGTAGTGGACCTCGTCCTCGTCGGGTTCCACCACTTGACGCGAGATAGCGCTGATGCTCGACCGGAGTTGGTTTTCGTCGTCGAGGGGTAGAAAGAGAGAAAGATCGGGGGTGGAAGGGGGTTGGGTTGCCAGTTCGTTCGACCACTCCATCCCCTCGACCTCCCCCCTTTATCCAAACGTCTCTGGCCACGCGACCAGACGAATCAGGAACGACCAGGCGCCGGATCGATCAATTCAATTAAACCAGCAAAATTTCAATATTGATAAAGTGCTTTTAATGAAAAAAGATGAATTTTCTCTTTCCCTTTTTTTTTTTTATCAAACTGCAATTCATCATTGAAACATTTGCTCCTCAAAGTACTCCATCTATCTGCGATCGAGAAGAGATCCGATTGGTGTCCTCTGGTTTCTGATGAATTTAGAATAGATTTTACCGTCTCGTTATACTTTCACGCGGTTGAGTATTCTCTCGTTTTTCAGTCGCTCGTCTCCACTTTGTTTCCTCCATCTCAATTCAAAGTCCCTATCAACTTCTTGCATGTTTTCCATCTCCTCGAGAGCTCACCGGGGGAAAATAATGCCGAGGGTGTGGGAGAGAAATAAAAACAGTAGAAAAGAGGAAACGAGTGAGAAAGGTTGGCCAACGATGACAGAGTCGTTGCATGTCTTTATAAACGCATTCTGAAGTAGACAAGTGCATTAAAAACCTCTGGGCGTTAGTTCAGGGTTTGGCGGGATGGGGTGGGGGGGTTTTCGGGGGTTGGACTGAGGATTCGAGGGGTTGACAAAGGAATGCAAAGTAAGAACTCTGGTGCACTCGCCTCCAACCCCTCTTTTTCCATCGGTCGTCGCCTTTATCCCATCGCCCGGAGGTTACAGTGCATTATCATGCAAGGCGATTCCGTTCTTCAGTCTCTACCTCTTAATTGTTTTTTTTTTTTCTTTATCACTGATCCCAGCCTCTGTCATCTGTGATGCTTTCGAGGATCAGAGGTGGGTGGATTGTTGAACATTGTGGGATGCACTGGTGATGAAAGGGGAGATGTAGTCCATGCAAATCTTATTTGTTCGATTTATCGGAGAGATGTCGATCATATTTCAATTATTCTGATCAATTGTGCATGTCCTTCGTGTATTCACCAAATTCTACAAACAATGAGTCGAGCGATGGACAGTGTCTTCCGGATACCTAGAGCCATGAAGAGAATTCCATTCAACGAGACCGGATCTTCGGTCAGCGATCGCGATTGTTGATTGGCTCCTCACCAACCCAGCTGCAATGAAAGAAGCAATGATTATTCGTAATCACGGGATGTCTCCACCTATGGGCAAATCAGCATCATCAGGCTGAATGACGAGTTTTCCAGAGACACGCCAAGGTCGATTTAAGAATGTAATCTTGCCTGGTCGAGTGCTCGATTGCACGCGATTGTTGGTCAAATGGAATTTGAGAGAGGGGAAATTAACGGGCTAATGCTGTGGACCATTACGTGATGCAGTCAATTGTGATGAGACCAACCAAGACATCGTCACTGGACACGTGAGAATAACCTCCCTCTCATTTCATTGGCTGTATTGATCACATACACTAGTTTGTCCTTCCATGTTTCTACTGGGTTGGATGCATTTGCCGTCGCACCCAGCTACCAATATCTCGTTACAACTCACGTAACGACTGCATCGTCTGGCACTGACTCGTTGGAACAATTACCTGTGGGTTAAATGTTAGGATTTCAACGAACCTCGGGTTTTCACTGGTGATTCAGGCTAGGGCTGCAGCTGAAAGGACGAAAAAAACACTCGGAATTTGAGATCCCAGCAGCAGGAGTCATTGTCAGTGATAATCTCGACTTCTGCTTCAGACGCAATCATAAAAAAAAAACAAAAATGTCTGAATGGAACTGAAATCGATCTGAATCTGAAATCTGAAAATTTGAGTCTGAGAGTCGATCTTGATCGATTTGGGATGACTGGTCTTGGGTTAAACTACTTATCAGTTCGCAAGACTGAATTTTTTTTGCCAGTGAAATATTGTTGGTTGAAAAAGGTATGATGCACTTGTTATTTTTCGGATCAAACTCGAGTCTGAGAATATTGTCGTGTAGATTAAAGAAATGGTGCCCACTGCCTTTTCCGATAAAACCCCAGTCTCCATATCTCCAGCATCCGGTTCCTGTAGTCAAGGAGAGGCGTGTGCTTGGAGATAACTCCTTTATCTCCCGAGGTTCGTTGTGAGTTTCGAGTACGAGTTTGATTGATATTTACTTTTAAAGATATTTGTATAATTTCTGGGATTCGCCGATTGGACGGTGGAAATTTTCCGATGTGATTATTAAAAAAAAAATCGGGAAACAAAACAATTGTATTTTTGGGAAATGTTTTGAAAATTTTTTTTATAATTTTCTAGAAATTTTTGCGAATATATTTTTTTCTTTTAATTATACTATTATTCTCTAACTTTTTTGATTTTCCAATATTCTCAAAAAAATGCCATCTAAATTATAAAAAAAAATTTCCTATTCAAATTTTTGAGAATTTTTTCAAAACCTTTCCCAAAACGAAAATTGTTTTGTTTTCCGTTTTTTTTTGTTAAAAAAAAAATGTTCTGAAAAGCTTTCCAGAAATTAGTTGAAAATTAGGAGAAAATATTTCGATTACATTTTTTTTTACCCGAGTAGTCAAGAAAATTTCAAAGATTCACGTACATTGCAAAGATCAGTGTGAGGTGGAGAGAGAGGGTGAGGAGAGGATGACAGAGGCAGAAAGATGAACTGAGAGGATGCCTGGTCGGGTATAAAACAATATTGATTGGTCGTAGAATGCACGGGGTGGATTACGGGGGTGGCCGAGGGTTGGGCAGTGCGGCGCGTTGCATTGTACCGACTGCGTCCGGTCAAACTTTTGCATCCCCCTCCTCATTCTCTCCACACACTGGAGCAACCATCTCCCTCAGTTTCCAGGGGAACGTCTCTGCATTTTCCCAGCGTTTTGTATTTTTCCCTCTTTCACTTGGCTTCAACCCTCCTCCTGCGCTAGCCTTCAACCGCGTATTCCTCAGTCGATAATTATTGCAGTCCGTCTCCGCTCTCGTTCTCGTCTTTCAGACCTTTTCATAAAACGCACCATCAATTCCTACTCTCCCTCTCCACCCTATACCACCCCATTCTCCACCTCATGTTCTCCGGTGAAAGTCTCGTATTTGTTGCCTAGTATAGAGCAACCGAGCTTTGCGAACTTTGTCTTTACAATTCATGTAAGTTTGTGTGCGGTTGGTCTACATTGGCCTGATCGACGTCTTATTCATGTTAATACAAGTATTATTGAGTTTATGAACAGTGTATGTATGGGGTGGAAGAGGGGGGAGGGCAATTCATGGGTGGCGATCAGTTTGAAGGGCTTACAATTCAGAAAAAATCCATTGGCTAAAAGTCCAGTGTCTCGGAATAAATCGCGTGCTGGAAAACTGACAGGAGTTGAAATATATAAATATTTTTTTAAACAAGTTGAATGAATATTGGTGAAAAAAATAGGGGAGAGTTTTTTAATTGCCTTGGATACCCGGGTAAACAAAATTGTAATCGGAATATTTTTTCCATTTATTCAAAAATTCCTGGAAAACTTTTCAGAAAATTTTTTGATAATTTCGAAAAAATATTCCGATTACAATTTTTCTTTATCTCTCGTTACAATAATATTTTTTTTATTCCGGTATATATTTGACAATTAATCAATGGCGAAATTACGACAAGAAAAAAATCTGGAAGTCGTGTACTGGTGAATAGGAGTGAAAGTATTCGCCAGTGAATGTTCGAAAGGTGGAAGGAAAAAAATCGCTAGAAGGTTGAAGAGGTGATGTCCATCATATGTATAGCAGGATTTTTCGAAAGCTTTCCGACTGCCATACACACACCTGAAAATCATACCCTCGGACAAGGTCCGGAAAAAGGGGTGGAAATAGAGGGGGTTAGATGGGTTTTAGGTGGCAAAGGGGAGTATCTCGTGAGGGCACGGATCTGAGTGAAATTTTTTTGCGAGTGTGCATATCTCCCCAGCTTCCAACTATAACTCTTCACTCCCTCCACCACTCACTCACGGACGGGTTCTCTAGAGTGCATCATATATGGCCGATGTTTCACACAGCCTTTCGACAAAAAAAGAAAAAAAAAAAACGCCAACTGCATTCGCCTGTGGCACAAGTGTACACACGAAATGTTGCACTTTCTTGACGAGGTAATAACGCCACCCTCGAGCCAAGTTTTTCAACCCTCTGTATTTATCCTGCGGTGCATTTTGAGATTGTAATAATAACGGTTGATATGTGAAATATTAAATTCGAGGTCAGGAGAATAAAATAGCGTCTTTGATTTATTCTGGAATTAATCTTCTAGTTTCATTTCGACTAAAATAATCCGTTGAATTTCAAATTTTTATATAATTTATAAAAATATTCACAATCGCTCCGAGATATTCTCGCTGATTGCTGTGAACTTGATTTGTATTTTTATCAGGATGAGAACAAAATTAATTTTGACGGGAATTAATGAACATGAACGATTTATTCGTTCTTTTTTATGTTCGATGGTTTAGCAATCTCGTTTGAAAAAAATTCAACTCGTTGCTTCTTGTAATTGAGCTCAAGGGTGTCGGTGTGAAATGGTTTTCGGGGGATGCCAGAGGGGTGGACATTCTTGTCGCCAAGGTAATTTATTTCTTGCCATCGAAATCCTTCGGCCAACCTCGTGACCACAAATCCCATCCAACACCCCCTTCGAGAAGCGACTTGACACCGGTTGCGGTTCGTAATTTAGAGTCAACTATTTCTGAATCAATTAAAACTACGTGGGTTCATCAAAGTCGATACAAACCCTTCAGTCAATCCTTAACCCCAA